AAAAAATCAGAGAATTGAACAAACCAGGCATTGTGCATTGCCTTGACTTTGTCCATGTACACATTGATCTATATTCACTTAACCTTTTAACTGTCATGCCCGAAATAATCCCGGGGACAGCACTGGTATTCCAAAATGTCACGCCCGAGTATTACTCGGACTAATTTTTTGTTTGAGTGCATTGTATTGTTATACCCGATTATTATATATCGTGAGAAGTTTGTTTCGGTTTCAATTCATCAGATGGCAGCACTTTACTGAAGGTTTCAAAGGATAGAGGGTAAAGTTCAGAGTGTGTGGCTTTTTTTTTTTTTATATTGAGAGGCAAGCATTTCATTTTTGGAATAAAGAAAAAACTGACAATTTATGCAACCAAATCATCAAAATAACTTGACAGTTAAAAGGTTAAAAAGTCAAAGGAGCAGCCAACAAAAATTATACGGTACAAAGTCCGTAATCCGGACTCATTGGGACTACGGCGATTCCGGATTATAGATCATCAATTTAAATCTGGTACGATGGCATGCAGAAATTATACAATTAAAAATATAAAACCATAAATTATGAAATAGAGAGCAATTATGATCTAAAGGGTATCAAATTTTACAAAAAAAAAAAAAAAAAGTTTAATATTTATTTGCTCATTTTATTATAAACATTTCTTTCAATGCGCACATGCGTAGAGCATACATTACACGCATGCATAACTCCACTACATTACTATTAATACTATAAATCACAATACAGTCAAAAGTTGTTAATTCGGACACCCATAATCTGGAATGATCTATAATACGGACCTCAAAGCTACAAACTTTCTGCGCATGCGTCTCATTGACGCATGCGCGTAAGACCTTTACGGCTGCAAATATGCGCGTGCACAAAATACGTTTATCCTTAATCTTTGAATTGGATTCGGCTTATTATTTTTTGCACACTGTTAGAGTAAGTTTATAAAAGTAAACTTGAACTTTCAATTATGTCAAATAAACTTTCTGATATATATTTACTAATATGTAAAGGATCTACAAAGCGAAAGTATGTTTCGAAGTCCATTAAACAAAAAGTGGAATTGCTGCAAAAAAATTGATAAAGGCATATTCTTTGTTTATCTAAACTTTAACGTTTGTTTTTCTAACTTTGTTTATCTTTAACGCTGCGGGTGCGCAATGAATTGGAAGTTGATCTGTCAGCACTATCCTTATCTTCAGGGCAGATGTTTTTATTTTATTTGGCTTATAATTCCTTACTAAATGTAGTATTTCATCTCGATGTACTCCGTCTTTGATATGATTTAAATCAAATTCCTTGTCATTATAATTCGCTTCCGATAGCGAAGAAAGTGACAGAGGTTATTGAAAACGAAAAAAATTTCGTTTGACAAATTAGTCGGTATTCTCGACACAGCAATTATAGGACTTGAACAGCGGAACTTTGTAACTGAACAAGAAATTATGTCTGTTTATAGAATTAAAGAGAATGTATTATCACATAAAAAATGAAGCAACTTAAACAACTTACATTGAAAGAAATGTTTAATAAAGTAATCAAATAAATATTAAGCTTTTTTTTTTTTTGTAAATTTTGATACTCTTTAGATCATAATTGTTCTTTATTTCATAAATTACGGTTTTATATTTTTAATTTTATAATTTCTGCATGCCATCTTACCAGATTTAAACTGATGATCTATAATCTGGAAAAAATGATAATCTGGAATCGCCGAAGTCCCGACGAGTCCGGATTAACGACTTTTGACTGTACTATAAATATATAATCAAGTTAAATACATTGTTACAACTTTTTATAAATTTTATTTAATACTCCATTTGGTACAATTCTTTCCCGTTCCTGTCAATCCAGAATTATTTTTTGTTAATGCCTTACTTTCAGCCTATTAGAAACGTCTACTCCTGATGTTACTACACGCCTACCAAGCCCTTAACACCTGGTTTCCTCGGTGGTTATACAGCGAGTATTCAATATCTCACTAACTCATCGGAAGTGTCTGACTTAAGAGTTTTTCTCTGCATCTGGAATGCAGAGTTATCACCTTCAAAATGCTAGCCGTAATTGCTATCAACTTCTTTACCTATTATGCACATGATCGGATCACATCATGGAGCTTGTAAAATGTGATTGATTAGCTTACCTGAGTTACTTAATTATTTAACATTCGCAGTTTCTTTGCAAAAAATGAATACACAAACACAATCCGTCATATAATGCCAATAATATAATATTAGAATCATGTTTCCTCACATTTTTAGCAACTATACTCTGAAAACTTCAAAAATATTTGCATAATTTTCTTCTTCCTCAAAGTGTTCAGAGAACAACTTCCCTTAAATCTTGAAATAGATTCATCCATGTAGTGATCGTTTTCATCTTAGTTACAAAGATAAACCCTTGCAAACTACTAGCAAAGCTCGTGCTGAGCCCCTACCTTGTAACTGTTAAATTTTATGCCAGTCGTGTACAATGACGAACCAATTACAGTAAAGCTAACTGACATTCAGTCTACAATTTTGCTAAGTCAGCTACTCATTTACATTCTCTAATTATTAATAGATGATTTCAAGCCCAAAGAATAGCCGAGACAAAAATTAGAACAGGCAAGATTTCAGTTACAAGGAAATATAAATGAAAATATCTGATCACATGTCATTACTAGTATTGGTTAATCTTTGGATTATGGTAACTTGGCGGTTTTTTAACGAAAATGTGGCGACCAGCCCTGCTACAGCAACCTGCTAGTTTTGTTTTGGACACCTTTTTGTTTTCGCTAAGTAAAGGCTTTTTTTTTTTACTCAACATTTTTTCCAACAATCTGCTAGCCGAAGTATGCTTATACTAGAACTTTTATGGAACAAAAATGCTTAATCATGACGAAGATTAGGTGCGAAATTGGGAGAAAGTGCAGAATCGCCCACTGCTTGCCGCGTTTGTAAGAATTGCACATACACGGTATCATCCATGTACACGTCGACCTATTTTCGCTTAAAAAACATCCCAGAATTGCACAAAAATGGCATTGCGCACACTCTTGACTTTATCCATGTACACTGCTAAAGTCCTAGCTAGTAACCTTTATCGCCTTACCAAAATGTCGCCAAACTACCTGTTACCATATTCCAAAGATTAGCCCTAGTATTTTTGTTGGAATGTAGGTTTCTTTTAGGGAAAGAGTATTATGATAGTTACCTATAGCTTATTCAACACTACTTTTCATTCGTTATATTCTTACAGTAACCGTGTCCTTCAGAAATTATATTATTCACACATTTTCCTCTCTCAATTTCTGAACAATAAAATTAGTAAAAAAAAGAGGGGATATGTGAAGAAATACAGTATTACAATGTTAACATTTAGAATTTCATATGAAAATAGTAGTTCACTGATTCAACTCTCAAAAAAGTGCAAGATCATACAAGCATGAAGTATGGCCAAATACTTAACTTTGGTTTAATCCTAGTATCCGGTGCACACGGGATTTGGCTACTTTTGGCGACTTTTATGATGAGCAGTAAAAACGGGACATATACGATGAGTAGTAAACGGGTATTCAAAGAATATATATAGTTATACATAGTATATACTATGCATATAGTGTATAGTATACTATCACTATATATACATAGACGTTCTTTTGGTAATTTTTTGGTGTTAGCGATAATTTTCAAAATCGCGCCAAGGCTGCACTGTCTACTAGGATTTTACCCTTAACTTTTTGTTGAGAAGATATACATATGGTTCATTTTCCATCCATATATTACATTCTTAGTGTTTATGACATGCTGGTCAGAAATACTTCACTCCGACTTGATGATAAAAAAAGGTCAAATGGAAGATACCACAAGTATGATATTTTCACTATTCATTCATGATTGTGTTCAATTTGCAATACATAAATTTAATATCCATAAAAAGGTGTGGTTTCTTTTTCAAATTTTACGAAAAAAGAATCAAAAAAGTGTAAAGTTGAAAAGGCTATATGATATTGTATACGGGCACGAAAAATTATATTGTCGACCTCAGATCAGACGAGACGACCCGCTGAATTTAAGCATATAAATAAGCGGAGGAAAAGAAACCAACAGGGATTCCCTTAGTAGCGGCGAGCGAACCGGGATGAGCCCAGCGCCGAATTCCGCACTCTTTGGGTGTTGGAAAATGTGGCGTATAGGAGTGAGCGTTCCGGAGGTTGACTCTGCAGCAAGTCCCCCTGACCGGGGCTGTTACCCAGAGCGGGTGCGAGGCCCATAGCTGCTAGGTCTCCTTCGGATGCGATCTCCTGGGAGTCGGGTTGCTTGGGAGTGCAACCCTAATCGGGTGGTAAACTCCACCTAAGGCTAAATACTGCCGTGAGACCGATAGCAAACAAGTACCGTGAGGGAAAGTTGCAAAGAACTTTGAAGAGAGAGTTCAAGAGTACGTGAAACTGCTCAGAGGTAAACGGGTGGGCCCTCGAAATCCTGTGGCGGGAGGATTCAGTTGGGCTTCCGTGGCAGCACTGGGAAAAAATCAAAAGGGTAGTGCCGTTACGGTTTGCATTTGACTAAAGGGCTTACAATTAAAAAATATCAAACTAAATCTCTAAATAAAGACCTAACCAATTTTTAAAAAACCCTAGCTGCGAAAATCTAATTTAGAACTACATGACTAACTGCCAGAAAATGATAAAAACAGAAATCAAACACAAAACACATTATTCATTTTCACATTGAAGAGTGTAATGAAATCAGATTCAAAGATTAACATAAAAAGCAAGATGTCGAAATGTCTCATTTCTTAAGAAACAACTTCAGGAAAATTACAATTCTATCACTTTGTTTGCAATTTAAATTATTAATCTATTATCAAAATAACTATCAAAGCAATATGAGAGCAAGTCGATGATTACAGGTATTATCATAATCATAATTATTCATTTTATTAATAAATTACTTTAAAAAACAGGGAGGTCAAAAGCAGAGACTACCAATATAATTTTAACTCACCTGAATAACTAAAGGTTCTAAAGTTTTCTCTACGGTTCTTGTCCGAATTTCTAAGTTCTTGGGATCCCATTTCAAATTTACAGAGCTTAAATTAAGATCCGCTGTCATTTTACACTACTTACGAACTCCAGTTTTATAAAAGCTAAAATTAAAACTTAATATTAGTGTATAATAAAATCTGAAAATTCATATATTAAGATAATTATCAGAATTTTTTTTTTTTTTAATGCACAATGACAACTTTTGTTTTGGTACACACGCCCAAAACTGATATAAAATGAATTTCCGGTGGAAATAATTAGATATCAAATTTCAAAGTAATCAGATCGCTTCACAAATGTATAAATAAATCAGAACACCATTTACAAACAAAATTCCAACAAAGCTAAGCTACTGAGAAAACACAGCTAATACAATAGAAGTATGCATCATAACCGCATACCAATCGCATTCCTTTTCCACAAATTAAAAAAATAATAATAATAATACCGCTGAAAGATTGTACGATGATATGTACGTATTACACTAATCTATTCAAAATCTCTTCAGAAAATATAATAAAATTAAATTACCAACAAAAGTTCGTAATGCCGCTTTATTTCCTTAAAGCACTTCGCAACACAGTACTCAGCCTACACAACACAGTTCCGTCAAACTAACAATATGGCGCTACCGGAAGTTTCGTAAATTGCTTGTTTCAGCTGATTTGTATCGCAGAATATAATATACAGCTCAGATCTAAGAAACTGTGAAAACTTTAATCCAAAATTTCTATTCGAGTCATTTAATTTCTATTCTCGTAAATATTAGCTGTTTGTTCTACGACTAGGCTGAGGCCCGTGTATTGTTTAGTAATGACAAAGTACCCTTTTTCTGCATTTCCCGGTCATCCCGTCATTTTAACCAAAATATCAGTTTTGTCTGGCATATAACAAAAGTTATAAGTGTGCTTCTCGACAATCAAAACTATTATTCGAAACTCGTAAGTGAATGCCAGTGGCGTAGCTAGGGTGGGGCAAGGGGGGGACATTTGTCCCCGGGCGCAGCATCCAGAGGCGCCAAATTGATGCTACGGAATTTTTTAATGGAATGTTTTCCTATTTGGCACACATTAAAGGGGCGCAAATTCTTCAGTTGTCCCCGGGCGCTGGAATCGTAGCTACGCCACGGGTGAATGCTTACATCATGCCTACGAAAAATATTGAGCTGGGTGGTTCGATCAGTACTACTAGATTCAAAGAATTGTCAAAATACTGAAGAATTTAAATGGCTGGAAGAAAGAAATCGTTTTTGTATCTGAAATAGGAATAAAGAATTTTTCTGAAACTAGATGTTCAGGAATTTGTGCGACACTGTAAAGTTTATTCTGTCCAAAAGTACACAATCCACTTATGCTTTGATCTGCGTCATCCAGTTATATCAACCAATCATTCTACCCCCACAGCTGTTAAAAGAATATTTGGATATTCTTCGGAGAACAGCCTTAGTTGCGCCATCTTGGTTCCTTTAACATTTGGTTGGTTAAGGGACGTATGGGCGACATTTCATTATGCCAACTGAAGTAAATATCATATGAGGGATAGGAGTTAGGCAAAATGGAAAATAGTATATGGGGTGTTGCGTGCGTACGGATTCGTTATGAAATGAATGCACAAGTCCGATGCAAAATGAACAAAAATTTATTATTATCACAACAAAAATGCTTAAATTTTCTCAAATTATCATGCAGTATTACAATATCTCACAGTAGTTATTTTTTAACTACTCAAATGTCCAATAGAACGTAATTCAAAACAGCTAAAGAACGCTAATCCGCGAATTCGCTACAATCAACAACAGTAGTTTTCTAAACAACAACAAACTAAACAACTACTACAAACTGAGATGTTTTCCTCCTTTTATAAGATTTTAAAATCACGCGCTAGAATTTTCCAGCACTTTCTCGAAATCAAAAAGAGATATTTATTTATTTAACGCACGCGCTCTTGTATTTTTAATTTTTCCGGCTTAGCTTTCTTTTAATATTCGTCACGCGCTGCACTGCGCGAGAAATAAAACCATTTAATTTATAATTGAACTAACATTAGCTTTTTAAATACCAAATTCGTAACACTGCCCCCTTCCCAAGGACTGCACGTCCCGGGCAGTACAATCCCTGGACAGGAAGCTAAACTTACAACTGTGGCATAAATGCATTAATAAGCATTACATTACAATACAATATAAACACATGAACAATAAATGCAATAATTAAACAAAATCAAATGCTAAATCAAATACAAATCAAATACACATTTAAAAACAAAATGGACCATGGTCTTATACTATTTACAATTATTTACATTACGTACTATGGCCATAGTAATAAGCTAACCTGTCGTAAGAGTTCGAAGACTCACGGATCCGAACCACGACGTCATTCGTGTTCAGCACTGTATATGGACCATCCGAAGGTGACTGTAATTTAGGACTCAGTCCTTTTCGTTGAATTGGGTTCCACAACCACACCTTGTCTCCTTTGTTGGATCTCTGTCTAGTAGCTCTTGTGTCGCATCTGGTCTTCATTTTCTCCGTCGCCAAGTTGACTCGCTTTCGTGCAGAACGGTGCATCCCCTCAAACCGGGCCTGGGCATCTTGGATGTGTTCCTCAGGCGATGAAGGCGCATCCGTAGGGCGACTAAACAGGCGGTCACAAGGCAGACGAAGGTCTCGACCGAAGAGCTTCTGGGATGGAGAATAGCTGGTAGTCTTGAGTTTCTTTTCGACCCTGGTATGATTTCGGCAGCTTCCCGAGCTCGATCTTTCGGACAAGGCGTCGACATTTCCAGGCGAGGATCCCTTTTGAGGATGGATAGTCATGCCATCAGATGCTGAAAGCAGCTTATTGTTTTTGAAATCTAAGGAAAAATTGTATTTCCTTAAAAAGTCCAATCCGAGTATGCATGGATCTGTAATATCCGCCACATATGCCGTGTGATGGTAGGCGGCACTTCCAAACGTGATGTTTACGTTTAACTTCCCAGTTATGTCGATCTTGTCACCAGACGCAGTCTGAAGGGTAACACAGGATGGCGTCCAAATAAGTTTATCTTTAAACTGTTCAGCTAAATCTTTCCTAATGATGGTAACATTAGCTCCTGTGTCAATGATCATATTGCAAGGAACTCCATCGATATTCCCATTGATGGACAGTCCGTTATTGTTGCCACTCACTATAGAGATCTTAAGCGCTTTAAAACAGGGTTTTTCATTATCTGGCAACCTCCGTTCCTTGATATGGTCATTAATTTGTTTACTGCGTCGTTGCTGGGAAATGGTCTTATTTTCCGTACCTCGGGGTGTTCTGCAATTTCTTCGTATGTGGCCTTCAACTCCGCAGTTCCAGCACTTTAGAATTAGTTTCTTTTCACTTCTGTTCCGTCTCAAGCCACTGACTTGTCTGGTAAAATCATCTGCTTTATATTCCGTACCCTGGGGTGTTCTGCAATTCCGTCTTAGGTGACCTTCACTACCACATCTCCAACACCTTAGAGCCACTTTCTTCTCCCTCCTACTCCGTATCAAAGCGTCGACTTGTCTGGCTAAATCATCTAAACGAGCCATCAGTTGATCCCACTGGGCTCGTGGACTCGCACAGCTCTAACTGGGTAGCGATCTCTATTAGTTGCTTGCTGGGCTGCCTCGAACTTCATGGCGTACAACAGAGCGCTTTTTATGTCCTTTACATCTGCCATTCGAAGAGCTTTCTGTATTTCAGGGTCCCGGATGCCATCGACGAAATATTGCAGCGACAGGATTTCCCTTGTTTCTGTCGGACATTCCGAAAAGGCGAGATGGGACAGCCTTTCAACATCCGCGGCGAGCTCCTGAAGTGTTTCGGTAGGCTTCTGTTGACGAGATTTTAATTGGAGCCTGCTGTAGTCTTTTAAACATTTCTCGCCGAAGCGCAGCTCCAAAGCGCCGGATAGAGCTTCGATATCTAGCCTTTGTTTTCGGGAAGCGTCTGCAGGATATCCGCTGCGTCTGCTCTCAGAGAAGCGGCGAGAGATGACAGGCCTTAGCTTGGGAATCCCATCCATTCGCATCCGCAACGATAGAAAATTGTGTCCTTATACACCTGCCAGGAGGTCTTCCCATCATATGTGGATAGTTTCAGAACGGAACGAGCAGGCATCGGTAAAAATTTAAAACCTTCAGAATTGTTTCCTACCGTCGCTATGCATTTCTTTAGGCTGTCAACTTCTTTGGCGACGGCAGCAGAAACCCTATCATCAATTTGTTGTTCGACGGCAGAAACTCTCTCTTCTATATGTTCTTTTACAGAAGAAATTCTTTCTTCTACTTGTTCTTTTACCGAAGAAACTCTTTCTTCTATTAGTCCAACTTTAGTTTCAACCGCGTCTATTCTGCCTTCCATAGCCTCAAATTTATTTTCTATTACGCAGGTAATTTCTCTTTTCATTTCGTCCTGACCTGCTTTCATCTCGTCTTTAAGGGATTTCATCTCTTCCTTAAACATTCCTGGTCCCAATTTCATTTCTTCCTTAACGGATATTTGACCAGCATCCATTTCTCTTGTACAGCTTTTATTATCTTCCTTAACGGAGTTGACGGCTCCTTCCATCTTTTCTTGGAAAAGCAGCAAATGCAGTCATCATTTGCCTGAATTGTTCTTCCATCGCTCTTGTTATTGGCATTCAAATCCCACTTCTGACACCAAAAATTGTTGCGTGCGTACGGGTTCGTTATGAAATGAATGCACAAGTCCGATGAAAAATGAACAAAAAATTTATTATTATCACAACAAAAATGCTTAAATTTTCTCAAATTATCATGCAGTATTACAAATATCTCACAGTAGTTATTCTTTTAACTACTCAAATGTCCAATAGAACGTAATTCAAAACAGCTAAAGAACGCTAATCCGCGAATTCGCTACAATCAACAAACAGTAGTTTTCTAAACAACAACAAACTAAGCAACTACTACAAACTGAGATGTTTTCCTCCTTTTATAAGATTTTAAAATCACGCGCTAGAATTTTCCAGCACTTTCTCGAAATCAAAAAGAGATATTTAATTATTTAACGCACGCGCTCTTGTATTTTTAATTTTTCCGGCTTAGCTTTCTTTTAATATTCGTCACGCGCTGCACTGCGCGAGAAATAAAACCATTTAATTTATAATTGAACTAACATTGGCTTTTTAAATACCAAATTCGTAACAGGGGAAAAGCGGGCTTTGATATGTTTGTGTTTGTTTGGTAACTCTTGCTAGTTTGGTTCTGTCATATTGCTAAATTATCATTAAAAGTAATGTGCATTCCTGACACAAACGCAAGGCAATTACTTTTGGATCCGATTTCATATATGTATTAATATTCCTGATCATATGATCTACATATGTATCAGTTAACTAGCTACTTTTGACACTTAGTTCTGGATGTGAATTACTTTAAAACTTTTTCTGCTTTGAAAACACAAGTATTGAAACATTACGTGTAGGCTTGTGAAAATATTATTTCAGACATTCTTATATTACTAACTATACTATAATCTTGTATTATTCAGTTCTCATACAACTACGACAGAAACATCTTCTATTATTTACTTAAAAATGCAGTATTTGATAGCCTTTCACATAGTAGCCATTCTAGAATTAGTTCTGTAATGTTATATAACGTTGATTAAATTATCTTATACAATATTTTGCTTATTTATTCATTT